TTTCCTTCATAATCCTCTGTTTAGCCCTGTAACAAAGAGTCTTACCAACATAAAGACCCAATGTCTTTCTAACCAAATCTTGAATTTCCCAAATCCTTATGTATGGTTGAGATACAATTCTGTCCTTAAACTTTCTAGCAATTAACTTTGAATTACACAACTTGTTCCTGTTTAATGGAATACACTTGTGAACAGGATTATAGTTCTTCACAATGAAATCACCTGAGTCCCTGTGAATGGAAGCATATAACAACCACTTACAGTTAGCATTTTTGCACTTCACCCTCACTCTATGTTTTTCATTAGGTCTTGACTTTATCTGCCTCATGTACTCTACAACATAATCTGCCACTGCTTTCCTGAACTGATTTGCACCCTCAAAGACCATTCCAAGCTCAAATATTGAAACTTCACAATCTTCATCATACCTAACTTTTTTGCTTCTCCTTCTAGTAGGTATATCTACTCCCCTAACAGCATCCACATCTAGTTGTTCATCAGTATCATCACTCCAACAGTCTGAGCTATCAATATAATCCTCATCTCTACCTAATTTTCCTGCATATTTGTCAGTTTTATTTTTTCCAATATCTTCAAAGCCTCTATCTATACCACCAGCCTCTCCAACTGGTATTTCTTCGAATTTAGTAGCCTTTTTTCTCTGTTTTTTGTTTCTTCTTTCTTGTCTAAAAGCTCTCAACTCCTCATCAATATCTGAACCATCTTCTGAAGGTATATCTAGATCTGAATCACTACTCAAGAAATCAGATTCACCTTCTCCACCTAGGTTATCATCCACACCATCTCTACCTAGGTTATCATCCACACCCTCTTCACCAATGTTAACATCAACACCCTCACCACCAAGGTTAACAGCCTCACCTTCTCCACTTAGGTCAACAGCCTCACCTTCTCCACCTAAGTTAACAGCCTCACCCTCTTCACCAAGGTCAACATCAACACCTTCACCACCAATACATGACAGACAAATACTTCAAAAGTGTCCTCATGTTTTAAGTCTTTAATTAGGTGTAGGAGATGTTGGTCAGTTGTAATTAGGACCCATTTTTTATTCAATAAATCCTTCACATAAAACCCTCCAACAGTTTCATACCCTAATTCTTTAGTATAATATAGTAGTTCCAAAATGGAAAAGTGGTCCTTAATAATATACCTGAGTGCAGACACACAGTTTTCAACATAAGTAGGGACAGATATCTCGGATAAGATTCCACCGTGGTAAATCTTTGTAAATATAACGCTTTCCTCCATGGTCAATTGTTAGCCCTACAAAATATCAAACAAACCCTAGCTTAAGATAACGGAATATACTCATATATCCCATACAACAACTAAAAAACAAAGTTTTAAAGCATATTTTCTGGGTAATAGTAAAGAAGGGACAGAATATTCGCAAAAATCACAAACCCTATATATTTACAAAACCCTAGCTTTTTGGAATTCATTTAACAAAGCATGTAAAAATCATTAACAATCCTAACTTACACAAGGAAATCTTCAAGATTGTAACACAAACAAGACGAATCCAACTTCAATCTGGAGGAAATCGCGAAGATGGAGAGCTTCAATTTGGAAAAAATCGCGAAGAGAGAGAGAGAAGTGTTCTGTCAATTTTAACGATTTAGGAATCTTCCCCAATTAAGACATTTACAAATACACGTCGGATACACGTGGTAGTTGTTAAATGGTTATTCTATACACGTCGGATACACGTGGGAGCTTAAATACACGCGCCTTGGCCGTTTATGAAAAGTGATAAAAAAATGCTTAGATGGTTCAAATCTGGGGTGGTAGAGGTGTTCAATAGGTACTAGGTGTAGTTGAGGTGTCTAAATGAATAATGAGGACAACTTTGAGTGGCTACAGATGACTTTGGCCTAATATGTATTATTTAATGTGAAATTATTGAAAACTACTTAAAATGTATTGTAAATCTTAACAATTAACAACATTTGATTGACTCTTGAAATTTTATCTATGCTACATACATTGAGACAAACAGAGTAATATATATTAAGTATTTAAAATTACGTACAACCTTATTGCTTTCTATAGGCTTTGAATTATCGTGGTCATTTTTTAGGCTGATACAAGCTTTGTACATTTTCTATTTAATTTTTTTTTAATATTATAAATCGCAATAATTAATAATTTAAAATATTTAAAAATATATATTAAAAATTGATTGCTTTTGGGAATTTTATTTATACTATATAAAATGGGACAAAGGAAGCAACATATATCATTTACAAATGACTTAAAAAACATTAAAAATTACAATAATTACCAAATTAAAATATTTAAAAGCTATATAATAAAATAGTTTCACTCTCAGAATTCTATGAGGCTCACATATATTGGGACAGAAAAAATAACACATATCATTTTAAAATTATCAAAAAAGTATTATAAATAATAATAATTAACAACTTAAAATATCTAAAAGACATTTTAAAAGGGTTAATTTTGTAATTTTATCCATATCGCATAAATTAGGACAAAGTGACCAGTAATATAGGTTATTTGAAAGTTACATAAAAATATTATAAATCACAATACTTAATAACTTAAAACATTTTTTTAAAAAAATGAAAATTTGGATGACTCTCCAAATTTTATTTGTGTCACATAAATTGAGACAACAAAAATAACATATATTGGGTCCATTTTAATTTATTTGTCTTATTTTTTTTTGTGTTTTTTATTTTTAAAAATTGCGTAAAAATATTATAAATCATGATAATTGACAACATAAAATATGTTTTGAAAAAAATACAAAAAATTCTACTGATTCTTGAAGTGAATATATCATAAAAATACTATAAATCATTATAATTGACAACATAAAACATTTCAAAAATGTTGTATGTGGGTAGTCTTATTATGTCTTAAATAGTGTCAAAGAAAGTACAGGTTTGTGATAAAAAAAAGCTTATTCATTTATCCACGCAAACAATGTTGTATGTGGGTAGTCTTATTATGTCTTAAATAGTGTCAAAGAAAGTAAGGTTTGTGATAAAAAAAAGCTTATTCATTTATCCACGCAAACAATCGCTTCAAAAACTCCGTTATTAGCCCCTAAACATATCATTTATATTATTGGGCCCGTGTATAGCACGGGCACTATTATCTAGTACCTAATAAGATAGTAGTTTTTCCTTATTTTTATCTTTTGTATAAAATTCATCCCCACAATTGGGCTTAACATGTAAGACATAGTCCAACACATTTGGACCAAGAGCCCATCCCTTAAGAGGGTCAGGTTGAGCCCGACCCACCTGAGTTTATCCTATGTTTTCTTCCTTCATGGAATTAAACCATGAATTATTGGCAACATATGTCATGTATTTATTTTTATATTAACTTGGTAAACATCGGATGCGAATAAATTTTTACCTTCATACGATAGGTATTTATGAATATATTTCTCTTCACGAAGCTCTAAAAGATCAACGTAATTGCATAATTACCACCCAACAAACTCTGACGAGCCATTTGGTATTTTGAACAAAACATAAATAGCCTTGAGATAAAAAATAAGAATAATATTGTCTTGTTTTTGTTTGATTATTAATTTTGGGATAAGTTATATCAAAATTAGTGCAGAAATAAGTTATTTATGTGAGAGGGTAGAATAATAATATCTAGGTTAGTTATCTCGAGATAAAACATTTATAATGATAAAAGTACCTATACAGTCCTTTAAACTTTTTTTCTATTTAATAAGGTGGAGGGTGATTTTATCAACAAACAACTTACTCTTAGAAATTATGTTAGTGTGTGTTATTTTCAATAGAACAAACTAAATAGTCAGTAAAAATTATATCACAATAACTAATTTCAATATAATTATTCCCTAACATAAGTTGTATTTAAGCCAAACTATCCCTAAGAGGTCGCTAGTACGTAGATAAGGAATAATAATTCCAAGATAAAATACAAAATTATCCCATCATTTGTAATAATATAATGCAATTAGTTATTTCATATGGAACAACTAATTTCATAAGATATATTAGTGAGATAAATTTATATATCCCTTCCCCTAGAAAATATCCCTTGGGTCGTTTGCTAGCTTGTAAAGATTTAGCTTATTCTTGTATTAATTTATTATATGTATAAGTTATACAATGTTTGATAGCTTTGTTCAACTATAAAAAAATTAATATGACGCCCAGTTTGCAACTTAGAAACTAACATAACTAATATATAGGGGTGTTCACAATTTGGATAAAAATCGATCCAAATTCAAAATCAAATTAAACTGATTTAATAAATCGATTTTATTTGGATTTGACTTGGTTTGATTTTAGATTTTAAAAAACTAATAGTATTTGATTTGATTTTGGTTTTTCTCGTGAAAATCGAAGAAATAACCGAATCGAATCGACAAATTATATACATAAATGTTATCATTATACGTACATTATATATTTTTTGTATAAAGTTTTTAAAAGATCTAACATATGTTTTCATCAAAATTTATTTTTAATCTATTTATGAAAGCAAAAGCGCTCAAAACGAGAACATTTATCTTATTATTTTCATGTATATGAGTGTCTGTGACAATTCTTCATGGAATTTGAATTATCATTATCTCTTCCTTCTAGGCAAAAATGGTGAATTTTGAAGCTCTACTCAAAATAGGTTTAGTGATCGAAAGTTCTATAATATCGGTCGTTTTTACTATTTTTCATTTTGAATGGATTGTTGTCCTGACTTTTTTCTCGTTTCTCTTATTTTTGTGTATGGTTAATAGTCGAATAACCAAACTAAACTAAATCGAAATAGAAAACAACCAAACCGATAAATGTATATTATATTTAGTTTGATTTGATTTTGAGAATTTAAAAACCGACTATATTAATTTGGTTTTGGTTTCAACCGATAACTCATCCAAACCGACCCGTGTTTACCAATGCTTACATAAACCCTAGAAGAAAAGAAACTAGGGTTCAGAATTTCTCTGTACTGAGCTGAGCTTCCAGTTTGCCTCAATGGGGACTAAGCGAAAATCATCATCTTCAACCTCAAGGCCCCAACCTGAAGAGCAAAAACCTAAACTTCAACCTCCATCTTCATCTGAAGAAGAAGAAGAAGAAGAAGAAGAAGTAGAGTATGAAGAAGAGCCCGAAGAATCTGAATCCGAAGAGAAATCCGAATCTGATCTAGAATCCGACTCCGACGGCGAAGATGAGGCGACCAAGCGAGATACTATTCGGAAAATTCTTGAACCATTCAGTAAAGATCAAATAATCCAGCAATTCAAAACCGCAGCTTCAAAGAATCCATCAATTCTCTCTCGGGTCACATCTTTTGCCGATTCTGACCCGACCCACCGGAAAATCTTCGTTCATGGACTCGGGTATGATGCAACTTCAGACCAATTGCTCGACGCCTTTAAACCCTATGGAAAAATCGAAGAGTGTAAGCTGATTACTGATAAGGTTACAGGAAGAGCTAAAGGTTACGGGTTTGTGGTATTCGAAACACGGGTCGGGGCAAAAAGAGCTTTAAAGGAGCCCCAGAAGATAATTGGGAATCGTACTACTTCTTGTCAGCTGGCTGCTTTGCGATCTGCTGTGACTGGTCAAGATTCCGGTGGCCGGAAAATTTATGTTGGGAATGTTGGGCAGGATGTGGATAGTGAAAAGTTACGGGCTTTTTTCGCGAAATTTGGTGAAATTGAGGAAGGGCCTTCAGGGATTGATAGTGTTAGTAGGAAGTTTAAGGGGTTTGCTATATTTGTGTATAAGTCTGTTGAAGGGGCTAATAAGGCGTTGGAGGAACCGCAGAAATCGTTTGATGGGTGCCAATTGTTTTGCAAGAAATTTGTGGAGAATTTGAACAATGCTGGTAGTAGTAATGCAAATCAAGGTGTGCAGCAGAATGAGATGAGTTATGGTTTTGGAGTGACTCCTGGGATATTGAGTGGCGCGAGTATGAATGGTATGCCCCTTTTGATAGGGCAAAACATGGGATTTGGAATTAATCCATTGCTTGCACCAGGATTTAATCCGTTGTTTGGAGGGATTGGTGCTGGTTATGGTATAAATGGCATTAGTCCGGTTGTCATAGCTAGTTATGGTTCAGACCCAGCTTTGCAGGGATTAGGGACTTATCAGGGTGCACAAATGTGGCAGCCTTCTTTAGGAGGGTCAGCAGCAATGGCAACAATAACTACACCCGCAAAAGATTCATCTGGCGCAGGAGGGGTGACCTATCCCTCGTCTCTGGGCCGCTAGGTAATGTCTTTTGAGCTTACTTGAACATGATCCCCTGTAATATGATTCATAGTTATTCAAGCTAATATTGTCTTAAATGTAATGCATTTTGATATCAGTATGTGAATGTATATTTAGTAGCCTTCTTTTTAGTCGACTTTATTACTCAGGTGTATTTCATGGTTATCAAATTCTAGCTTTGAAGACTATAGGTTTAGGTGATTGACATACCTTAAATATTGACTTTAGTCATGCTTGAAAGTATTTGTCAAGTAGAGCTTAGGTAGCGTATTTGATCAAACTGAATTTCATTTGTTTATTCTATTAGTAATTCACTTATGGTCTGCAAAGCGTAACTGCAGCAGAATGTGTCCTCTGGTTACATCGACTTTTGTAGGTGGCATTTAGATTGACCGGTTTATTGCTTCTATCTTTCAATACACTTCTGTGAGGGGTTTTGTGTGTGCTGCATTTTATGGAATATTAATGGATTCTCCTTTCTTGTTCTGTATGTTCCATCCGGTCCCCTATAAAATGTTCCATCTTGACCAATTGACCTTGTAAATTCTTAGCAAATAGTCTATGGTATTCTAGCTAGCGAGAAGAATGTTAGACGAATTAATACGTTTTTTGCAATTTGTACATTTTTAGGGATAAGTATAGGTTTGCATCGTTTTTTAGTTTACTTAAAAATTTCTATCACATGAAGTATTAACTCAGACTCCACCAAACATTGACTACTTTTTCATTACCACCAAGTCCAAGTATGGGGAAATCTACACGTCTTAAAAAAAAAAAAAACACTGAATATTCATGTTAGAGATCAGTAAGGAAACATGATGAACGAGCTTCGTATGTCAGTTTCTGTTAGGTTATTTTTGTGCATTAAACATCTGTAATTTTGGTAGTGGGCTGGCCCTGGATAGTTGAAAGCTGGAACCGGAGTTTTGCGATGGTCATTCTAACACAAGTGCACTTGTCTTTTCTGCTCTGCATCATCTTGATGCTTTTGGATGAAATTTCATTACTTTAATTTTAAAAAACATGTGCACTTGTCTTGGCAGCCTAGTATTTTCATGTTATTATGTTATAGTATTACGTTTTGTGCTATAGGGCTTCAAATTATATGAAAAAAAACTTTTGTTATAACTCAAAAAGAAGGATCTTATTGTTGAAGATGCAAGTACTGTCCTCCACCTTTTTAAAATGCCTCCGTCATTCTGATTGCTGGAATAAGTGGATTTCAAGGTGTTATGATCCTAGGATCCAGATTCTTAATACTTGCATCTCTTAGCATAGAACCTTAAGTATTTGTCGGATCAGAATCTTAAATTTAGTATCATTCACCTCAGTGCCTTGTGCTACTTTTAAGTGTAAAACAACGTACTCATCATCATTTCAGGCTTTACCACATCCGTTTCTTTTTAGTAATCCTCGTGTTCAACCGATCATCTATGAAACTCTTCTCCTGCAACACAGATGACAGAGCGGCTCTGGGGTATGTGTGAGAATGGATGAAGTTAGCATTCTGATGTGCAGCGTCCAACACATTGAGAAGATGGCTGGAATTAGACAATATCTGTAAAAAGCTCCAACCAGAAGTACATCCGCGTCTACATTTCCTTCTTGCAACAACCAGTGTCGCATATCCTACCTAAAATGCTCATATGTAAGCCGTTTGGTTGAGTATTTCACATTTGGATTGAATATGATAAGATACATTTCAGAATTGTTATATACAGAATTGTTACATACTTTTGTCATTGCAAAGTAGGCTGAAATTTTCTTCTATATTTTGTTGTTTCTTCCGCCGTTGATATCTTCCTTTTATTGCCTGAGCTATGTGTTGCCTATATTACTTATTTTGTTAAGGCAGGGGGAAGGGGAAATAGGTAGGGGATTACAAGGCGGGGAGTCGAATCCTAACCAACAAGATGAGAGTTCAGGTAGCCAATCAATCAACTGAGCTATTAAGATTCTCCGTTGCCTACATTACTTTTCTTTCGATAAGACAGTTAAATTACTCACCAGTTTTGACAAGATTTCTGTCTCTGTGACAAGTTCTCCTCCTGAGCCATCTTCATATAAGCCATCTTTATCTTTCGTAGAAATAACGTCTACTGATCACTTTTGTTCCTATTTTTGAAAAATATTCTGCAAACATTTGTTGTTCGGTCCAATCCCACATCAGGGTGCGGCTGATGATGGTGGTGGTGCGCGGTGGTAGTTGATAATGGTGGAATTAGTCATGAAAATGAATGGAGTAGTGATAAATCACCTATCATCTTTGTAGAAATTTTAAAATAGACATGCTAATAATATTAAGATTTTATTATATATTTCAATAGTTCAGATCTATTTAGATCCATTAAGCGGTAATAAAATTATAAAAAACAAATACACTTGTATTTAGTAGAGAAGTAATTTATTCATATATTAATTTTTGTATAAGTTATATAATATTTAGTAGCTAGTTAGGAAAAATAAGTTATTTATGTTTAAAATTAATACGCATTTAAAAATTCACATCCTAAATACATGTATAAGCTATAAGCAAATCGGGAATATCTTAGGTAGGATAAAAGATGAAACTACTTGATTCTAACTGGCTATCAAATCATCTCAATGAATAAATAGACTTTTATAACCGAAATATGATTAATTAAGATTAAAACTTTCGTTAAGTGCAAACAAATGACAAGTAAACAAAGGAATCTTTCTTCCCTGTGTGTGAAGACTATCAATCCATCATGATAAAGATTAAAGACAAGACTGTCTGCAGTATTTCTGCAGATAATTAGGAATTGATTGGAGAAAATATTCTCTCAAATCTTTCAGCTTTATCTTATTCACGTGAACTTGGACCAAATGGTAAAATTATTTTCATGTGATATATATGTCACAATTTTGAGTAAAATTAATAACTAATATTTGTATTAGGTATGTTATCTATGTTGCACCGTGGACTGTAAGTTGAAGTTGTTGCTTCCATAACTTCCAAAATATTTGACTATATATTTGTATTTTCGCTTATTGCTCACACCACTATAATTAATTAGACACGATATTATCCCTCAAATCATCATTGAAAGTTTTGCGTAACGCCTATGTTAATATAATGGTGCCTTGAATTGGCCTCTGCCCTTTGCTTTGATCCTATTCAGACTTTTTATAATAATTTATGTATCGAACTGTAATATTACACTATTGCTAGTAAACTGATTATCGTACGAGCTCGTTCATATTGCCGATTTTAAGTTCGAAATAAAGAAGGATAATAGCTCTCAATAGAATTTACTCATGTTATTGATTTCATATGAGTTATGTGTTTATCTTTTATTATTTTATCCTATAGTTGATTAGGTTCACTTAATCCAATTAGAAATAGTAAAAAAAGGAGTTAATTATTTCATGCAAAATTTAAAAGCATGCCAGAAAGAAGTCATCATGAAGCACACGTGTAAAAGGTATTTGGTAATTATTAAAAGAAAACATGCAAAAATATAATAAAATTATTTTCAACAAATCACTATCACAGGCAGTCAACAAAAGTATACCAAACTCCAAACAAAAAAGTCATAAAAGATAGGCTAATAAACCCCTTTTTTCTTTATCTTTTGCCTGATATGCCAAAAACTACAATTAATACTTCAATGTCATTCAAACTAAATAGACTTCGTTTGAATTATTTTGAAAATCACACCATTTCAGCCACAATTATCACCATCGTTAATTATCATTATGTCATCCACAACCACCATCTTCAAATCAACTACAACCATCACTATCCTTATCGTTAAGCATCAAAATCAATTATGAGCACTATTAATTATTATTTATAATTATGATCACCAATCATTATTACATCCACTAATCACTATTCTGATACTCCCTCCGTCCCTTTTTAGTTGTCTACTTTAGAAATGACACACAGATTAAGGCAACAATGATTAGCACAGTGAAGTTATAATTTTAACCTTATGACAACTTTTCACTTCAAAATTACAACCACTTATTTGAATTCAAGTGAAATAAATTGGAGGGAAACAACATACACTTTTACAATTTTCAAGAAGTGTAAATAAGGATATAATAGGAAAAAATTTGTTGTCCTTTCTTGATTTGTCAAAATGGACAACTAAATAGGGACAACTAAAAAAGGAAATATGGACAAGTAAATAGGGACGGAGGGAGTACTTATCACTATTAATCAACATTATATATCACTAGCTAACATTATCATTCATCATCGCCATTAGTATCAATATTATTCCACTACTAGTTATCGATCGCTATCAATAATAATCATGGTTAATCACTATTACCAATCACTAGTTCATAAAACACAACTCACAAACCACCATCATCAATCAACACCATTCCAAATCGACCAGACAATCATTATCGTTAGGCATCACCATTATCAATTGTCATATAAATATCTGAAATAATTTATTTATATAATACTAAGTCAAACAAATTTTATACATTCAAACATTGAGAAAAACAAACCGTCTTACTTATTTTAGTATTCAGATCTTAATGCAACATCTCTAATATTCATATCTGTATTCATATTTAAACCTCTAAATCTTAATACACATCTTAATAGTACATCTAAATTCAAGTGTCATATAATCTTAATAAAACAAACTAAACCTTAAAGAATCATCTACCCTTCAAAGCCTTTTTTTTTTTCCCATTAATATAGAAGACTATACAAACCACAAAGAACTACTAGTATTTCAAGATAACTCTATTAATAGAGAATAATTAGAGGCAATATTAAGCAATCACCACCAAGTTACAAACTAATTAATCCTACTTCATCCGTTGACAAAACAAAACTCTTAATTAGCTTCTATTAATTGTTACTACAATTCCACATTATATTATGTAATAAAATAAAATAAAATACCCTCAAAATCCCACTTATATTTAATTTTCAAGTGGCTCCAACTCCAAGAAAATCAATGAAGTTCACAGTTTTTACATCTTCATCTTCTTCATAAATCTTGACAATATTGGTCATGTTGTTGGCTACTGACTCAGATGCTGAAATATCTGAATTTGTATCTGACATATTTCCATACAAGCCCATTTTCATCTCTTCTTCATCTCTTGACAACCCTATATTAAAACAAAAAATAAAATAATTAAAAAGATTTACATATATTGATGGTAATTTACTAGAAATAATAATACACTAGTTGTTACAAGCAAATGTTTCTTCAGACTTTTCAAAAATATTATTGTATTTGTGTCAAATCCTTTGGAAATGGGTCAGAGTTGATTTCTCGTATAGTCACTTAACTAATACTTACTCTATCCTATATATTAGTTGTCCACTTTCCCCTTTATGGGTAGTTTTACTTACCCCTTAAAAAGTGTTTTTTAAACTTAACAAACTTTTTTACTTTAAGAGTAAAATGAGTAAAAATCAATTAATTTTTTATTTTGTATATTGACAAGTAATTAGGTACAACTATTTATAATAAAGTAGACAATAAATATGAGACGGAAGTAGTTATTATCTTAAAAAACCATTTTTTTTCGAAGAAAATTGGAATCAAGAGAAAAAAACTAGCTCTATCGGTTGAGTGACCATAACCCTTCAAATATACCTACTTTAAAGGATATGATGTACACTCCTAACATTTTTGAAGCATTCAAACATCATAAAAATCACAGGTTTTAACTATAGTGATAATAGAAATATACATATTTTATACCGTCAGTATATATAACTTAAACTCGTTTTTAAATAAGTAAAAAAGAAGGAAGAAAAAGCTTATACCTTTGTTAGAATAAATGATTCCTTGATGCTCCACATGATGATGATTAAATCTTGTCATAAGAAAAGGATGAATAATGGCTTTAGAAGAAGATGGAGTAAGTGAAAGATCAGTGCAAGTTGAATCACTTTGAAGATCATCAACAATGTTGCTAGAAATTGTTGAATCACTTTGTATGATCATATCATCATTATTAATATTATTATTGTTATTTGGAGCAATAATTTGTTGCAAATTTGATGTTTTTCTTCTTCTATACACACTATTTTGTTCTCTATGTTTTCTTGCCATTATGACATGCCAATGATTCTTCACTGCATTGTCTGTCCTCCCTGGGAATAGCCTTGCAATCATTGACCATTTGTTGCCATACATTTTGTGTGCTGCTAATAATCTTTCCTCTTCTTCTTCTGAGAATGCTTTTCTGTTGATTCTTGGATCTAGTTGATTAAACCATCTCAATCTACAACTTTTCCCTAAAAAAGAAAAAAAGAATCGGAATTTAGACGTTGTGAGTTCTGAGTAAAAAAAAAAAAGCAAGTCATGGGATTCAGAATTTAGACGTGGTAGATTTTGAGTAGTTAAAAAGTGATTTGTAGGTTGATGACTTTCACATGTCTTGATTGATTTCATTGGATAACTGTCATCTCCTACCAGCAATAAGTACTAGATAATCTCTATCCATCAAGACTAAGATAAATGAGAAGAATTTTTGTCTCCATTGGGATTCGAACGTGGATCTCAACCACTTCATTGACTACAAAAGACGTGATATATCTTCTAACTCCTTCAAGGTTTGGTGGCTTAGCCTTTTTTTTTTACCACAAAGAAATAGAACCAACCAAGACTGAACTCTAGCCCCATTCTTGTGATTCGACTTTCTTGTGATAATAATTGCAAATGAGCAAGTGGAGGACGATAACTAAC